GGATGCAATCACGAGCGCTCGTTGCTGTTGGGATCTGGTCCCTCCTCTTACCTCATTTGCTTTTTCCTGGTTTTTCTCATTTGTTGATGTTTTCCTCTTATAGCAGAAGGTGGACCGGCAGGCAGGACCGCGCAGGCACTAGGTTGTCGCAGCTGCAGTGCAGCAGACAGGACCACATGCGTCATAGGCAAAAGGTTCTGGAGAACTGTTCGGTAAAGGTTTGAATCTTGGCGCTATTTTTTTTTTCAGTGACGCCTTGCTTTTTTGTCATTCAACACTTGCGTTGGATGTGCCTTCGCAGGGATTCGATAGCACCCTATTCACCATACCGCTTCATGCGTGGCATTCTTGTCGCCCCCTCCCATACATTGTTGTTTGTTGTGCATCGTCACGTGATATGCTCCATTAAACACCCGTGAACAGGTCCCAGCCTGCGCCGGCCATAGTGTGAAGAGGCAGGCCCGTGAGTAACATCAGGGCAACAAGTGGTTGACGCTTGCTTCTTCTTCCCGATCTCACCCGCACAAAGGAAAGAGGGCGCAGGTGTGCTGACGGATGCCAGTCAGGACATGTCTATTCGCATAATTCAAGTATGTTGACCAAGCATCTGCCGTCTAGCTACGATCACGGGACAACACCCCTTGACAAGCAGCATGCATACTGCACTGCCTTGTGTTTGTGCCACCAGACGAGGGTCCACACGCACACGCACACGCACACGCAACATCAGGTGCATAAAATAAAACGGCCAGCAAAAGTTTCCTAGGCTGGGCATGCATGGAGTTACTACCACTACCAATATAACAGTTGCCCGTGTGCTCTTGCCCAGCCGATCTAATTTGCATCTTACAATATCTTAGAGCATCTCCAACCATTCGGCTCTCCAGAACTTGAAATACCGCCGCCTGGGGATGAGCCGCCAATAAAATCAGCGTGGGACGGTCGGTTTTCGAACCGCCGCCTCAAGGTCGCCCTGGACGCCTTTAAAAAAAAACTAAACTCTGTAAATTTCGGCCAAACACGACACAAATTCGGTCAAACTAGACGATTTTATTGATATTTGTACAAAATTGAAAACATAATTTAAAAACAAAATAAAACTACTACGCCGTTGCCGCGCCGCCTTGAGCCTTCTACATGCCAAGGAGCCTGTAGAAGTTGGTGTAGCCGCCACCGTCGTCGTCATCGTCGCCGCCCTAGCCGCCATCCTTGCGGCACCCCTGCCCTGCGTCACCGTGGCGGACGGGGTTGGACGGCCCGGGCACCTCCTCGCGGCCGCCGCGCCGGGCGGCGATCTCCTCTAGGGCGCGGCGCTGGCGCTCCATCTCCTACCGGATGTAGTCGTCCTGCGCCCATTTGAGGCCGCTCTCCTCGTCGGCGGCCATGGCCTCGTGCCCCTTCTTCATGGGGAGGGGCGTCAGCTCGGTCTTTGGCTTGATGAGGCGGGAGATGGAGGCCGAAGGAGAAGGGGCGCCACCCTCGTTGATGACGATTGCGCCGCCGCGCGTGCGCCGCCCGATCTGATGGCTTGACGAGGCGGGAGATGGCGATCTGATGCGCGCGATCTTCGCATGTCGGTCAGCTCCAGAGGGCGGCGGCAGCACCGGGACTCTGCCAACGCTCAGCCTCCATGAATCCGGCACCCACATGTCCGGTGGCGCCGGGTAGTCCACCTCGTAGAGTAGACGGGCCTCGTCCTCGTGTAGGTGGCGGCAGCCGAAGCCATTGGCTGTCGCTCTGTCACCGGGGTAGCGCTCGGCCATGGTCGTCGGCCGGGAAAGGGGAGAGGGGCGTCAGGGAAGAGGGGT